CGGGCGCTCAGCCCGGCCTGGTTCTCGGCAGGCCCCGGCGCTGCCCGCGGGGCCCAGCCCGGGGCAGGGAGGCAGATGAGCCCTAAGCATTAGGTAGCGTTCACCAGCTCCGGGTAAGGAGGCTGAGCTTTAAACGGAGAGGATGTTTTTTGTGTCCTAGGTCAGTTGTAGCCAAGGTGAATGTGGCTGAAATTGACCTTCTGTACCCAAAATTTTTTTTTTTGAGCTGTTTTCATCCCATAGTGAGTTTAATGGTGCTTTCCTGTGCACAGTCCAGCATCACCAGCTATTTAATTACAAAGAAATGTATTTTTAACTGTGTGCCTGTATTAGCTATAAAGCCCATGGATTGCTTTGGGAGCATCTAACATAACAGCACCCATGGCTTGAAGTTGAATGTTAGTTTAAAATTTTTTCATATAGGTCTCTTGAAATAGGATATTCCATGTAAGTAGCTTAATTTGTACCTTTTTCAGAGAATATAGCTGAAGATTAATTAAAGAAGGAGAAATTGACATTTTCTCGAAGTGCCTCCCTGCCTGGTTGTTTACTTAGAAACCTTTTCCTTATTTAAATGCATCTTGAGATGGTTGAAGGTTGAGCTGTTTATCTCAGTGCGAGGGACTGCAAAGGGAAAAGATGAGTTCCTTTGGACTTTATTTTCTTGTTGAAACACATGGACTCAGCATGTCTTACAAAATAATTGAGCAACTGAAACAGAGGTGCTATCTTGTATTGCAGAGCTAAGGAAGAACATTCTTGCTGTTGGTAGAGTGTGTTAATTGAAAGCATGTTGGCTACTAAGCTGTCCCGGCCTCTCCTGAGCTTCTCTGTGAAAGCCCTGAATTTCAAGGACCCAGGGAATGGCTTTAGGTAAGTAACTTGGTGGAAAAGAACAAAGAGTGAGGTCTTGAGTAATGTACGCATCAAAGACTCATTTGATTTCAGTGGGACAGTTTATTTACAGAGCCACAAGATTGTTGAAGTTGGAAGGGACCTTTGAAGGTCATGTGGTCCAACCTTCCCTGCTCAAGCAGGCCTTCCTGGAGCTGGTTGCCCAGAACTGTGTCCATATGGATTTTGAGTAACTCCCAAGGATGGATATTCCATAACCTGCCTGGGCAACCTGTGCTAGTGCTCAGTCACTGAGCTGAGCATCGAGGAGGAGTTGGCAACATGTTTTTTTCCTACACTGCAATCAAAAGAGTGTTGAATAGAGCATTAATTCAGTGTCCAGCAAGAATTTTTTTCTTGAGTATCAGCAAGTAGGCCTTGCTGCAGTGCAAGAAACTGTCCTACATTTCCATGACTTCATTAAAGAGGCAATGAATCACATGAAATGAAAAAGTTGAGAGGGAGAGTTTTAGTGGGAAATGGAGGTGGGCTGAGTAATGAAGCTGTTTTTTTCTGAACATGAACAGAAAATTGCCTGTAATTCTGATTACTAACTCTGGAAAAAAAAAATATTTTACACTGATGTATGATGGGAACCCAACTAGTCCAAATGCAGAGCAAGTTGAGTGCTTTCCCTGGCTTTGCTTTAGTGCAGGGTTCCCAAACAATGGAGAATGTACCACTAATTGTACACAAGCCATTTAAAAGAGTGTTGTGGCCTGTGAAACGAGGACTGCCACCTCCTGTGTTGTTGAACTGTTGTTGATAATGGTGTCCAGCACCATCACGGTCAAGGATGGCTCTGGTAACAGGGCGTGTAGATAGCTAAGCTGTTAGAAGATTTCCTATGCAAACAGACATAGGCCTTTTATCTCCTATTTGCTC